ATGTCTTTCTACTTTAAAGTTCAGCACTGGTTTAAGTAGCTCAGTGTAAAAATAAATTAATTTCATTTAAACTGATAAACTTTTCTAGCATATGGAAGGCCTAAAACACAGCAATTAGGGGCTTTTCGCATTTCCACAGAGGGAATTAGTAGCAGAGGAGGCATCAGGTGAGAATTCCTGACCTTTTCTAGTTTTGGACAAAATGTAATGCATTTGTTGTCTGTCTCCCCCCATTTCCTTCATTTCACTCCTTTTTGTTTGACCCTCTTCCCTTTTTTTGGAAAATCTTGAATTCCAGTCCCACTCCCAAGATACCAGTTGAGAACAGGTACCTTGGACGTCTATTTCAGATGACTCTAACATGACCTCTGGTGCTTTCTTTCCACAAACTTCTGAGTTCTTGCTGTGCTATTTTCTCAGTTAAGTACTCAGACTCAGTACTGAGTCTGTGATGTACTTCCACTAACCCATAGTGTCCAACATGTTAGCCGCTAATCACATGTGGCTATTTGGCCAGTAGAGTGGCTCGTTGGCTCACAAAATTATTTACATTTTCAGAATAATGTGGCCAGTTCACTATAACAGTAGTCACTTTGGATACGTCTACACTACAGAGGAAGATTGAAGCTGCCGCTGTCGATTTTCCAGGGTTCGAATTAGTGATCTAGTTAAGACAGCTAATTTAAAATGAGAGGGCACTCCGGATGATGCTGGTAACCCTGCTTTCATGGGGAGTAAGGGATTTTGAAGGAAGAGTGTTCTTCCTGCAATGCAGACGGTGCCAAAAGTCGAGTTAAGCTACTTTGACTTCAGCTACTCAATTAACATACCTGAAGTTGTGTTTCTTAATTTGACTTTGTCCTGTAGTGTAGATGTGCCCTATAGAGGCTATTGCTTTACAACTGGTTGGACACCATGGCACTAACTACAGAAGCCCATCCTGCTTCACAAAATAATTGTTCCTTTATGGCTAGTTATTCCTTAGCTACCCGGAGAGGAGCAAGATGGTGCTTCTGCATCAATGCCAGTAGGATTAATCAGAGAATTTTGTGTCTATAGACATCACTGTGATTAGTTCCCAGCAAGGGCATACATTGATCCAGAACAGTGATGCCTTTGTGGATAGAATTCTCAGTTTCATTCTAGGCAGTCTTTCTTAATTACTTTTGGAAGTACCTGTTTCTTTCTTCTCTCAGAGTAGAGTGTGCCATTTTTTTGGAGAGGAAATATTCTTTGTCTCCATTGGTGACAAAGCTTCAATTCTATCTACTTAACTTGTTTTGTTGCACCCTAGCCCTAGAGCAGGGGTCCCCAACGTGGTGCCCATGGGTGCCATGGCGCCCGCTGGGGCACTTATGTGCGCCTGTGCCGGTGTTTTAAAACAGTGGTCTCCAAACTGGGGTGCACACACCCCAGAGGGTGCATGAGACTGTCAGAAGGAGTGCATGCCGCTGCGCAACAGCTGAGAGTGGAGATGCTGGAACACACCGCGCATGTGCTCCCTCAGATGTCTTGCGAACCAATGTCTCCCCTCTCAGCTGTTGCATGGCAGCATGCACGCCCTCCGATCATCTCGCACACCCCCTCCGTGCAGCAGATGAGAGGGGAGACGCCAGGTTCGCAAGATATCTCAGCGAGTGCATGTGTAGCATGTTCAAACTCCCGCGCAACAGCTGAGAGAGGAGACGTCTGGTGTGCCGTGATGTCACAGCCCGGGACTTTAAATTTTAAAACCACGCAGCTCAGCTCCAGGCCTAGCACATGGTCTGGGGTCACGGAAGCAGCTGGGGCCGGGCCTGATCACAGACTCAAATTGGGAGGCAGAAGGTGGGGGTGTGGGTAAAAATAGGGGGAAGGGGTGGGAGAGGAAAGGGCTTCTGCTGAGGGGAGAGGGGCAGGTCAGGAGAAGAAAGGGGAAGGCACCAAGGGACAGGGTGGAGGAGAGACAAATGCCAGGGGGCCAAGTAGAGACAATGAGGAAAAGAGCAGGAGGGGAAGTATCCGTGGGCGGGAGGGAACAGGGTGGTGCTGGGAGAGGAGAGGGTAAGGGCATTGGGGCTGGAGGGGGAAGTGCTAGGAGAAGGCTTGAAAGAAGAGGTGGGCATGAGGAAGGCGGGGATAGAACAAATCGTGTGAGGGCACAGGGGCATGAGGACAACGGGGGCAGATGGTGGTGAGGGAGTGGGCATCAGGGGCAAAGGGGGCAGGAGCAGTGAGGGAAGGGGGAGGCACCAGGAGGGTGCCGGGGTAAGGGAAGGTGCAGGTGCCAGGGGATTCTGGGGTGAAACAGAAGGACAGACACCTGCAGGGGAGGGACCAGCACCAGAGGAGAGAGGCAGGGCAGGTGTGTAGTGTGAGGTGTTAGGAGGGGGGGTAGCTCACATGATCAGAGTGGGGCTACTGGAGGAGTGGGCATGGGTGGGGGGGAGAGAAGGGCTGGTGGAGGGGGGCAGGTCTCAGGAGGGCTGAGGGCAATGAGAAGGGCAGGAGTCAGGACAGCAGAGGAGGGTGAGAGGCTGGGGGGGGAGCAGGCACCAGGGGAGCTGATGGAGCAAGGGGAGGAGACATGGCAACAGATGGTGGGGACATGGTGGAGATGGGGAGTGTGAGATTTAAAGGTGCCATGATTTTTTTGTGGGGGGAGGGTGCTTTTTTTGCTCAACATTTGGACACCCCCCTTTTTATTATTGCAGAATTTTGTGTTTGCTATGACTGATGCCTTGTCTACACCAGGCAGCTGGTCTGATTCGCCAGGGCCAACCAGTAGAGTTACCCTGCAGTGTAAGATTGGGGTGGGTGACAGTTCTTACTTAGTCTCAGAAGGGGTTGCCATGTAATTTAAAAAATGAGTAGTCCTGTGATACCTAAGAGAACAACAAGAATGTAAGTAGCGTGAGCTTTTGTGTGGATAACACCTACTTCTTCAGATGAGACGATCATTTACCGTCTTACGTTTTGCTTCAGTCTAGTGGGACTTTGTTTACATCAAGCCTACCCCCGAAGGAGCCTTAAATCGGGAGTTTATCTACATTGGGTTACAAACCATTTTAAGTTGAAACTGGTGCAACTTTCTCACCCTGCCAACGCCTGATTAGTCTCTCTCCCGCCCGGGCCCAGGGCTGAGTGGCACGGGCCAGCAGGGCGAGTCCGCCCCGGGCTGTGCGTGGGGGTGGAGGGGTTAGGAGGGGGTGAAACCCCCGAAGGAGCCTTAAATCGGGAGTTTATCTACATTGGGTTACAAACCATTTTAAGTTGAAACTGGTGCAACTTTCTCACCCTGCCAACGCCTGATTAGTCTCTCTCCCGCCCGGGCCCAGGGCTGAGTGGCACGGGCCAGCAGGGCGAGTCCGCCCCGGGCTGTGCGTGGGGGTGGAGGGGTTAGGAGGGGGTGAAG